CCAGGAGTTGAACCAGGAGTTGAACCAAGAGCTGTTGAACCAGGAGTTGAACCAAGAGTTGAACCAAGTGTTGAACCAGGAGTTGAATCAAGAGTAGAACCATGAGCTGAACCAAGAGTTGAACCAAGAGTTGAACCAGGAGTAGAACCAACAGTTGAACCAAAAGTTGAATGAAGAGTTGAATCAAGAGTTGAATCAAGAGTTGAACCAGGAGTTGAACCAAGAGTTGAACCAAGGTTGGAGCCAAGAGTGGAGCCAAGGGTGGAACCAAGGTTGGAGCAAAGGGTGGAGCCAAGGTTGGAGCCCATGTTGGCTCCAACTGAAGCTCCAAGGCTGAGGCCACCTCTGACGTCGGACGCGAGGGCGGGGTCAACGTTGGCTCCGACGCTGAGGTCAAGGTCAACGTTGGGGCCAAGAGTGGAGCCAATGGTGACTCCAGCTCCAAGCCCAGGACCAACGTTGGCTCCAACAGTGAGTCCAGCACCAGGTCCCAGCCCAACGTTGGCCCCAACGGTGACTCCGACACCGGCCCCGACGGCGGCTCCGATGGCGACGCCGACCCCCGGTGCCAACGTGGTGCCAATGTTGGTCCCAAGAGCAGCTCCGAGGCCAAGTCCACCAGGAGAACCAAGACTGGAGCCAACGGTGGCCCCAATGTTGGCTCCAAGGCCAAGTCCAGCCCCAATGGTGACGCCGAGGCCAGGCCCAATGTTGGTCCCAAGGCTCAGAGTGACTCCGGCCCCCAAACCAGCCCCAACATCTGCTCCACCATCAGGTTGGAGACCAGCTCCACCATCACCTCCAGCACCAGCTCCCAGGGCAGCACCAAGATCAGCCCCCAGGTCGGGCCCAACGTCGGCTCCTGCTGCCACCCCAAGGCCAAGGCCCACCCTGATGCCAACCTCAGAGCCAAGACCGTGGCCAACGGGGTCTCCAAGGCCGGGCCCAACGTTGGCTCCATGAGGAGGTTCAATGTTGGCCCCAATGTTGCCTCCAAGACCGTGGCTGATGGTGGTTCCAATCCCAGGTCCCATGTTGGTCCCAGGACCAGATCCCATGTTGGCTCCAATCCCAGGTCCCATATTGGTCCCAGAACCAGGTGCCATATTGGCTCCAGGACCAGATCCCATGTTGGTTCCAATTCCAGGTGCCATGTTGGTCCCAGGACCAGGTGCCATGTTGGTTCCAATCCCAGGTGCCATGTTGGTTCCAATCCCAGGTGCCATGTTGGTTCCAATCCCAGGTGCCATGTTGGTTCCAATCCCAGGTGCCATGTTGGTCCCAGAACCAGGTGCCATGTTGGTTCCAATCCCAGGTGCCATGTTGGTTCCAATCCCAGGTGCCATGTTGGTCCCAGGACCAGGTCCCATGTTGGTTCCAGGACCAGGTGCCATATTGGCTCCAGGACCAGATCCCATGGTGGCTCCAATCACAGGTGCCATGTTGGTTCCAAGTCCAGATCCCATGTTGGTCCCAGAACCAGGTGCCATGTT